TTTGGGGTCTGGGCATGCACAGCAGAGATGACTTATTTTCACTAAGTTTTGAGAACCACTGCATCGAACACATAAATAATATGGATCAAAGTCACAGACATCTCTAGCATTTGCCCACGTCCCTGTCCTGTCTTGCCAAGAAATTGCTTTGGAAAAGATTCTTGGAGTTCATGCTTTGATTATAGTGAAACAACCAATGTTCTCCTATTTATATTAAATAATGTGGGGAAATTATTATTACCTATACATTACCCATGAGCCAGTTGTTTGGATTGAGATGAAATGCACAACAGGTATTGTTCCCAGTAGGAGAGTCTGCGTTGTGTGAATGAAGGTCTCCGTTCCTGGATTCCTCGTGAAAGATTTACGTGAGGATCCGCGCTCAAGTCAAGACAGCCAGGAGGAAAGTAGCCGGCACAAAGCAGTTTATTCAGGATCGTACACTCTCAAGAAAGGACAATCAAGAAGGGGTTGTGGACAGTGGTCATGGACAGGATGGTCTCTAAATAAAGCTGCTTCCAATTATGTGGGGGACCCCTCCCACAGGTCCGGGAGCAAGAGTTTTTGACCCTACAGGGTTTCTACGGGAGCTGCCACGGCTGGCCATCTTCCCCCATGGGGCTCGGGGGTCAAAACCTCAATGCAAATATATCTGATGAACCTACAGGTTACCCTGGGGCAGAGGTTGAAGAGGAGAGCACCTACTCTCTACACCTGTGGCTCCTGGTCTGCCAGCCTCGGGGTGTTGGAAGCGGCAAGGCCAGGACATTAGGAGCCACAAAGCCAGGATGTTGTACCCTCGGGCTTCTAACGTGTCATCTATTTATCACCGCCTTTGCCTCCAGCTCCTGTCTCGCTGACTACCTAGTCAATCAGTATGAAAGTTACATAGCACTTACTACCTGCCAAGCTCACACAGGGACTCCCCTGATGTGGCTGGGCCACGCCTGAGTGCCTTCGTACAGGTAAGAGCGAAAGTTAGTTGCAGCGTTAGGGTTTATAAGATGCATCTTCCAGGAGGCTGTAACGAGAAGGCTTTGGATTATGTGCTGTTAAAGAAAGCTACCTCGGGAGAGAAAGCCCCTTTCAAAACTTCGCAGGCCAAATGAGTCTACACATGTGCCCAGATTTTTCCAGGGTAGCCTCTAACTCATCTCTCTTGGAAAATAATCTAACTGCCTTTGTGAACCTCTAGCAAAGTAGCTTTGAGAAACGTCTTTTGTAATTCAGACAGCTGACTATAAAAGAAATCATACAAGATGCTTAGTCCATAACTACACAGGCATATATATATACACATTTAAATAACTATATACATAGACATAAATATACATGTATATATATAGATGGATCTGTATATGTATATATAACACTGAATATATATATTATGCTATATGATGCATATATTTAGTGTCTCATACAAATATGTTTTAAAATATCCAGAGGACCATTTGGGTTCCTTCAAAATTCAGGTTCACAGGGGCACCTGGGTGACAGTCGGTTAAGTGTCTAACTTCAGCTCGGGTCATGGTCTCACAGTCCGTGAGTTCGAGCCCCTCTCTGTGCCGACGGCTCGGAGCCCGGAGCCTGCTTCAGATTCTGTGTCTCCCTCTCTCTGCCCCTCCCCCGCTCATGCTCTGTCTCTCTCACTCTCAAAAATGAATAAATGTTAAAAAATTTTTTCAAAAATCAGGTTCACAAAAGATATCATATCCTCTGAAACACTGTGAAAATGTAAATCATCTCTGGTTAACCGCAGCTGCTGTCGGGGAAAGTAAGCGGAGGGCATGACTGGAGTCCTCTCTCTTTGCGGTGGACACACGCTCACAGGTCAGAGCCCGACTGTGGGCAGATGAGATAAAAACCCTTGTGCCAAAAAAAAAAAAGATGTTCTTAAAACAGACTCAGAAACTTCAGAGATCTTGCGTCTGCAGAATAAAATCACAATGGTCTTGTGTCGGAGCAAAACAATTAGCACCCATAAAAGGACACAAAGAAGGATAAGGTAACAAACATTGTCCTCTAGACCAAATTCTAGCCACGCTCCCTTTTCTTGATGAGGCCTCACCTTGTCCCATAAACAGCTGAACTGAACTAACAGGGTTTTTAACATTCCTAAGATGGCCTAGCCCCCACCCCATCAAGTGCATGCCTGAAAAAACTTAGGGCTGCCCGTATGATGTACTGCTTGTTACAGCCAACACCTGAGGATGGCAGGGGAGCAGGTTAACTTCGATCGTTGCCAGGAAACGGACACACCTGCCCCAACTGCATTTGCACGGACTAGCCCTTTGTGATGTGTGTGATGTGTCCCGTCTCTGGCTATGGAGCCCCGCCCCCATACTCCCTCGTCTCCCTTTCAACACCCTGGCACCTCGGTGCAAACCCAAATCAGGTGCGGTTCACACTGGACCCGTTCCCCCACGGCAGTAGTTATTTCTGATTAAAATCCATCCTTCCCACTTTAACTAGGGCGTGGCTTTGTCTTTGACAATAGCAGTATGGACAGCCAAGTTGAAGGAGAAGTCCCAGGTTTCCCCTTAAAATAGAAGAGGTGGGGGGAAGGGTACCTGGGGGGCTCAGTTGCTGAGTATCCAGCTCTTGATTTCAGCTCAAGTCATGATCCCAGGGTCATGGGATCGAGCCCTGAGTTGGGCTCCAAGCAGAATGTGGAGCCTTCCTGGGATTCTCTCTCTCTCTCTCTCTCTCTCTCTCTCTCTCTCTCTCTCTCTCTCTCTCTCTCCTGCTGCCCCTCCTATGAACGCACTCTCTCTCTCTCTCAAATTAAAAAAAAAAAATAGAAGAGAAGGGAAGGAGAAACAGACTTAAACTGAGGTGTGCTTAGGACCGCAGAGGTATACAAAGAAAGATGTTGCACGTGGAAAAATACCATATTTATTCTCTCTCCATTAGGTGTTTTTGTCCCAGAAATGCACAGAGGTTAAGTATTTGTGATTAAATATCAGTATCAATAATTTCTTTAACAAAACCCCAGCAGATTTGAGCATATGAAACTCAGTGCCCAACCACAAGCTTTGCCTGGGGGCCATCACCAAGGAGGCTGATTCTGGAACACTCTGAGTAACAACGTAAATAGGGTACTGGATTAGAACTCATCCAGTAAAATAAATACGCATGTGTCCATACTCACATTCATTAAATAGTTAAAAGGTAGAGAAAGGTGGTCCTTCTTTAAATGTTAATTTTTGAGAGAAAGAGAGAGAGAGCACAAGTTGGGGACGGGCAGAGAGAGGAGGACAGAGGATTCCATGCGGGCTCTGGGCTGACAGCAGTGATCCTGATGTGGGGTTTGAACTCACGAACTGGGAGATCATGACCTGAGTCGATGTTCCGACCCTCAACTGACTGAGCCTCCCAGGTGGCCCTGAAAGATAGTTCTTCTTTAAAGAAAAATTCAAATTAATAAATGTGGAAGCAGTGAGGTAAATGTATGATCATCATAAGGAATATACCTCAGTAATAACGGTAGTGGGCAGGATCCCCAAGGGATGCTGAAATCAGTGGGTGAAAATTTAAGGAGAAACAGGACATCAACCTAGGCTAAAAGTAACCTCATCAAGGAGAAACCCAGTGGTGACAGACACCACATTAACCAAGAATTTGAGGCCCATATTGCAAGTAACAAGACATATTGACATCATGTACCCCAGGCTGTTATGAACTGAGGACGTAACATCTCTTCTGTGGTACTCTGGCCAAAAAATGCATAAGCTCGATTTAATAATGAGAAAATATGTGGCAAGCCAAGATTGAGTGACAGTCTACAGAATGATCAGTTATTTAAAAAAAAAACCAAACGAGTCAAGGTCCTGAAAGACAAGGGTAGACTAAGGAACTATCATAGATGGAAGGTCATTAAAGGCCTCAGTTGCTATATGCAATCAGGGATCCTGGGCCGCGTCCTGGAACAAAAATAGGATATTAGGGGGCACACTGGAGAAATTTCTATAAAATCTGTGGGTTAGTATCCAACCATAATTTCCTGGTTCTCCCAATGGTTGTTAACATTAGGGAATCTGAGTGAAGGGTAAATGTGGATTCTGTACCAATTTTGCAACTTTTCTGTAAGCCTAAAATTATTTCAAATAAAAATTTTTTTTACAATTTTTTAATGTTTATTCTTGAGAGACAGAAAGAGAGAAAGCGAGCGAGTGCCAGTGGGGGAAGGGCAGAGAGAGGGGGAGACAAAGAATCTGAAACAGGCTCCAGGCTCTGAGCTGTCCACACAGCCCGACATGGAGCTCCAACTCACAAACTCATGAACTGAGAGACTAAGAGAAAAATTACCAGGTGTACTCACAACTGCAAAGAAAAGACCTCCCCCCTCCCCTCCTCCCCCCACCTTCCCGGAACCAGCCAGGGCGTGCCCGGTTGTGGTCTGACCTAAAGGTGGGAACCAATCAAGTTCTGTTGAGTGTTCAAATTTAAATGTCAACCAATAACAGCTCTGTAACTGCAAAAAATCCCTAACTTGTTTGTGCCTGTCTATAAAAGAAGCTGTAAGATCCTCACTCGGGGCCTCTTAGTGTCACCAGCAACGAGTGCGCGGAGGACCGGGTTCGAACCTGCAATAAATGACCCTTGCTGCTTGGCTTTGACTCTGGACTCTGGTGGTTTGTTTTCGGGGGGTCTCTCGAATCGGGGCATATCATTTGGGGGCTCGTCCGGGATCCCCCCAAACCCACCAGACCCCAAGTCAACGGGTCGTCCCTGAGACCGATCGGTAAGTGAGCTGGCTCTGTTTCTGTTTGTCTGTTCGTTTCTGGCTCTCCCGCGCGGGAACTGTATCGGTGACTGACACAGCCTTGGCGGATGCGCTATAGGGCAGTCGGTCGGATCCAGTAGGAAACGTCCACTGGCACCCATCTGGGGCACCTTTTTGGGCCCATCGGAATTTTTCTGTTTGGGTGGCAGACACCCAAAACGCGCTAGCGATCTAAGTGTTGTGTTCTCTATTCTATAACCTTTAAGTGTTAAACTCCTTCTCTTTCACAGGTGACCTGGCCTGGCCCAGCCAGAAATCCTCATAACTTTACTGTTTCTCCTTTTAATCCTTTCCTCCACCTCCAGGATACAGATGGGCCAATCTCAAAGCACTCCTCTTTTCTCTCCTCGTTGCTAACTTCAGGGATGTTAGAACCAGAGGACAGAATTTGAGTTTAGACATCCGGCGGGGAAAATTAATAACTCTCTGCTGCTCTGAATGGCCAACCTTTGGCATTGGATGGCCAACTGAAGGAACTTTCTGCCTCCCTATAATTGCTAAGGTGAAATCAAAGATTTTTCTACCGGGTCGTGAGGGACACCCGGATCAGATTCCCTACATTCTTGTATGGCGGAATTTAGTGGAGAATCCACCCCCTTGGTTGGCCCCCTTCCTATCCTCGGGAACGTGTAAGGTCCTTGCCATGCGGCCTGCAGATCCCCCAAAATGAAGGACGCCAGCTGCGCCCTTGTATCCCATATTGCCCGATAGTCAGGACCTATTATCCCTAGACCCTCCACCCTATCATCCCCCTCCCCTCGTACCCCAGGCCCTGTCCGCAGCAGCCGCCCCACCAGTCGCCCCGCTAGTTGCCCCCCTAGGGGAACCGGGAGGACGGGAGGCTATAGCTGCACCGGGCCCCATTGAAAACGAAACCAACCACGAGGGGCCAGCCGGCCGAACCTGCGGGCGCACCCAGCGTGAGCCAAACCCTCGCCTCCCTGACTCCACTGTGGCCCTACCCCTGTGGGAAATAGGACCCCCCCTTTGAAACAGGCAACCCCCGACTCCAGTATTGGCCCTTTTCCACCAGTGACCTTTACAACTGGAAAACACAGAATGCTCGATTCTCTGATAACCCTAAAGACCTAATAGCTCTTTTAGACAGTGTCATGTTCACCCACCAGCCCACCTGGGACAACTGCCAGCAGCTCCTCCGCATCCTGTTCAAGCAAGAAAGCTGTCTGTAAATCCAAACCCCCACACCCCCTATAATTTGACATGGGAAATTACTAACTTAGAGACTCATGAAATCTACAACAAAACCCTAGGAACTGCCCCATTAAATACCTGGTGGCCAGATTTATATTTTAATTTAGAAAAAGTTAGTCCATTAGAAGAAATGGAAGGAGGTAAATGGAGGCAACTTCAAAGGAGGGTATCAATAAGTAGAAATGGATTTTATGCACGTCCGGGATTTAGGACGGGGGCGATGAGGCGCACATGTGGAGGGTTTGAAACACTCTATTGCGCAGCCTGGAGTTGCATCACCTCCAATGATGGGGAATGGAAGTGGGAAGTAAAACCCCAATTTATTGAAATGTCCTATGTCCGACCATGTACCCGCACCAGGTATGATGAAAACTGTAACCTTATTCGTGTAAGATTTACAGAGGGAGGGAAAAAAGACAGGCGATGGGTCTTAGGACTCACTTGGGGACTCTACTTATATCAACGTCCCCTCTTTGGGACTGCCATTGAAATAAAATTAAAAGTCTCCCCTCTTGTACAACCGGTGGGGCCAAATCAGATATTAGGAAAAAATAAAAATAAAAAAAGAGACGAGCCTATCCCCAGGCAGATCCCCACTACTCCCTCCAGCAGGACCCCCGTCGTTACCCCAGGAGTAAAAGCACAAGCTGTCCAAGAAAATCAGAACCCAGAAGGCATAGACTCCCTATGGAAATTGCTAACAGCAGCGTATGAGGCCTTAAACCGATCGGACCCTGAGGCAACAAGGGCCTGCTGGCTATGTTATGATATGAAATCCCCCTTCTATGAAGCCATAGGTCTAGCTGCCCCTTTTTCACAGTCAGAAGAGTCGCCAGCAGCTTGCAAGTGGAATCGAAAGGGCCCCGGCCTCACACTGCAAGTGGTCACTGGCAATGGGACTTGTATAGGAAAGGTCCCCTCTGGCCATATCCAGCTCTGTGCCCCGACTAATTACTCTATAGATGAATCTAAATGGATAATTCCAGCTCCTGACAGTTGGTGGATTTGTTCTAAGACAGGGCTCACCCCATGTGTTAGCAGAGATGTTTTTAATTCGTCACCCGAATATTGTATCATGGTATTAGTATTTCCAAAGGTTATTTACCACCGAGAAAATGTTGTATATGATCTGTGGACAGAAGGGACAGAAGCAAGAGAGTCAATAAGAACAAAACGGGAACCCTTTATGTCCATAACCTTGGCCACCTTATTTGGCCTCGGTACCATAGGGGCAGGAAAAGGGATCTCATCACTAGTCATCCAGCACCGGGGGTTCAATAGCCTAAGGGCAGCCATTGATGAGGATATAGCCAGACTTGAGGACTCAATCTCGCACCTCGAAAAATCTCTGACCTCCCTTTCTGAAGTGGTCCTACAGAACCGAAGGGGGCTAGATCTAGTCTTCCTCCAACAGGGAGGTTTATGTGCAGCCTTAAGAGAAGAATGTTGTTTTTATGCTGACCACACCGGAGTAGTCCGAGAGTCCATGGCTAAAGTTAGAGAAGGCCTGGCCAAACGGAGGCGTGAACGAGAACAACAACAAGGCTGGTTTGAGTCTTGGTTCAATCAGTCCCCATGGCTAGCTACCCTGCTTTCTGCTCTAGCTGGGCCCCTTACACTCCTCCTTCTCCTCCTCACCTTCGGGCCTTATATTATTAATAAACTAGTTGCCTTTATCAAAGACCGAGTTAACACGATCCAACTGATGGTGCTTAGGACCCAATACCAACC